TATATATAATTTAATTGATTTAAATATAATTTGAATAACTACAAAATATATAATATTTGAATTGTTAAACAAATTTGTAAATAAAAAGATATTGGTTTTAATAAAATTAAGAATATAATTTAAAAATAAAAATTGAAGGGATAGATTAGATATAGGTATCTAATCGATTATAGTTATAATTAAAATTTAGAATAATAGCAATTAGGGTATATAGTGGGGTGATAATGGATTTGATTGATTCAATCAAATTAGAATTTCAGTGGATTTGGAATAGAAATAAAATTAGAATAGTTTTTAAAAAGATAATATAAATTATTAAGATATAAATAAAGACTTATATTGTATTATAAGAATGAAAGAGCTATGGAAGGGTAAGACCCTTTTATAGGAAGTAGGGCACGCTAATAGTATATGCCTGAGGCATGAAGGCAACGTAGTTGGCGCTGTGACAATTATCCCTATTCCGAAAAAACTATTAAGTTAACCCTATTTCCAAATCTATTCTAAAATCCCTACAAAAAGGATCCCCGAAATACTCGAAAATCACTTTTATTAAATGCTTTGAAAACAATAGTTTATTATATTATCAAAAAAAGCTATATATTCCTAATTATGATTTTCTAAAAGCTTATCTACTTTATCTATATTACAAGTCCCCTATTACTAATTATCCATATTATACTCAAACCTTCGAATTACTGTTTTAAGATTACTACTAATCTAGCTATTATAATTATATTATATAATAAATCCGCAATTACTATAATTACCACTATATTACTTCAAATTATGAAGATTAGAAAGAAGTTTTTTATTTACTTTCAATTTCATAAAGAATCTAATGAAATATTTCAATAGATTTCATTATATATTTACCTGAAAATATTGATTTTAATATTATTATAATAATAGTTAATTATCTAATTAAAATAAAATATTTTTTGCCCTATTATAGTATTTATAACTTTAAAGAAATCATTTGTTTATTTCAAAAGAATATCTAAAAGCTTTATAATTTGCTTTTCATAATTATCTTTAATTATAAAGCTTAATTTATATTTGAATTTTGGAAATATATTTATAAATATTTAGAAGTATTTACCAAACTCTTTATTATTTATCATTCTGAGATTAATAAATAAATCAAAAAAGCTAATATAATACTAAAATAATATCTTAAATTATATATGATTTATTTATAAGATGATTGAATAGAATGATTTTTATTTATTAAATTTTTTATTAATAATATCTAATTCGAAAATATTCGAATAACTTCGTTTTTCTTCAATTACAGATTTCATTTCTATTTAGATTTTAAGTTATTTTTATTTGAAAATAATTGTTTTGTTATAAAAAATACTAAGAAATTTGTTTTCAAAATAGAAACAATTTTCTTGTATCTGAAAACAGAATTGACTATTAATTAAGCTAAATATTTAAAGAATACTGATTTCTATTGTTCTTCTGCCTACTGATATACCTCTAATAATTTGGTTTGATTGAATATTAGAAATATTAAAACTCTGTATTTATAGAAAAAGTTTAATTAAAAGAATTTTAGATTATTTAAGATTCTAAGTTTAATAGATCTTTATATTTATAAATTAGAATTATCTATCTTTATAAGAATTCATTTTGTTTTTTATATTAATTTATTATACTTTATATATAATAATCCTGTTTCTGAGTAGTATAATCTGTTACTACTTCTTATAGAAATCAATAGCTTAGAGTATTTTGAAACTATCGAGATTCTGAACTTCTATTGAAAAAGAAGAGATTATAAAGAATCTTGTTTAAAATATATTATTTACTGAATTAATTATAATAAGCTAATTAAAGAATTCATCAATTATCTGAAAAGTGTATAGAAATTGATCTACAACTTCTATTATAAATATTCCAATAAGTCTGAATCTATCTAAATCGAATTATTTGTTTATAAGATTATAAACCATAATTTATCACCTTATCAGAACTCAATCTAAAAGAGGGGGGTAATATTATAATATAAATATATATAATCAATAAATAATAAGCTAGGTTCTATAAAACTAGCTTACAAATAAAAACTTTGTATATCTTTATATTAGAAGATTCTATATTATAGCTCTTTAAGTTATATTTTAATCTATACTCTGTATCTATTGTTCTCAGTACTGTCAAATATAGATTCCTGATCCCGCCTGCCTGCCCCGTGACAAATCTTAAGTATTCCCTTTGAGATTATAAATCGATGCTATAATATGTATACTTATATTCTAAAGCAAAGTTTGAAATATATTGATAAGAGATAGATCTAAAAATGAGTAATATTTATATTAAGGATTTGTGTAGACTTTATGAAATTATTTATTGGTATACTAAAAAGTATTCTGAGTTTAAAGAGGAGTATACTAGGCTGAGATTAGATTAATGCAAATATTGAGTGTATTGGGATATTGAAAAATGAAAGATTTATATACAGAATAATAAGTATTCCGCTAAGCATAAGAATAGAAAAGATATTGAATGGATGTTCGGAATTCCTGTTTAGAAATAGGATTCTGCTTTAGTTATTATTTATAAATCTAAATGGGATATTAAGATTATTGTATAGGTAGTTTTTTGGGGTGATAGAAGGACTTTATTATATATAATGAAATGGGATTGGGAGGCTAAGAAGTATAGGTATTCTGCAAATTCATATATTCAGGTTTTGGAAGATATGCTTTTTGAGGAGTATTATAAATCTCTTATTTTTATATAGAATAATGTGCTTATATATATAGCTTATAGTATATGGGATTAGTTTATTGATAATAATATTCAAATTATTAATTGGCCTTTCTATTCTTCAGATTTTAATCTTATTAAAAATGCCTGATGAATATTGAAGTATAGAATGATATAACTATATTCAGAATTTATAGAATCTATAGGATATGGAGAGTAAAATATAAAGAAATTGAAGGAGTACTTGAAAGTATTATGGGAAGCTTTAGATAAGGTTTTTTTCGATTCTTTAATAAAGAGTATATCAAGATGTATAAAAGTATGTATCGATATTGAAAGGTAGTATACAAAGTATTAGAATGCTATAATATTAATAAAATTTATGGGAATAGTTTCAAAAATAGTTAGGCGATAGTATATCTGAAAACCAGATTTTTAAAAAGAAAGAATAAATTTATATCTTTACTTTACCCCATATATCAATAATGCTAAAATTAGAAAAAGTGGGTTCCGGCCCTTATTTTATGTCTAGTATTGTAATTGAATGTATATTACCCAGTAGGTTCAAATTAAGTTGTGGCGTGTGAGCACTAGACCCGGAATACTCATAGGCTTGTTCAGAGCAAAGTAAGCCTACCGTCCTTCGGATGCACGAAAAGGCTTATATGTGATGGAAAGAAAGTAAGCAGATAATTCATCAAGACGATGTCTTACACAGTCATATTCAATATAAATATGGAATTGTACCTTTTCTTGATAGATCCTATAATTATTGCTCTCACATCAACCTTGATGCATCATTTCCTGAGTTTTATGGGAAACCGGCCCCTGACTTGACACTGGCAATCAACGTGATGGAGAATTATCTTTCATCACCAACTTTATTTAAATAACATTAAAATGGACTCATCAACTACATTTCGGGATGTCGGCAGAATACGAAATTAACTGCAATCATCTAATGATTCCTTGCCATTGCACCTTTTGAAGTTAAGTAGGATTCTGTAGGAAATGCTGAATGCAGATGTTAACCCCCGTATATGCATTCTCTTCAATGAGGAGAGAACATTACATATAAAGAGACTTTGAAACTATCTCATATTGTAACGTTACTTTACTTTGTGCCGCCGCCAACTGTATGTTTCCAATACGAACATGATCAATTCCCCTTTGAGTTCGTGGAAACTTTCTTCTACATATTGTTCGGATGTTTTCCGATATACGTGCCAATGCGAGCATGATTCCGATATATCCTGAATTCTGGTAAAACTCCCTCAGGGCTGACGTTTTGATATCATTGGGCTTCCTCATAAATGTTGGCAGATTGGGTTTTCAACTTCACACCCCGTACAAATGCCGGATTTCGGACTGGCGGACACCTAAATTGAATCAGTCGATATCCTCTTACATGTTCTTGCCACCAATATCATATCATTCCATGATCCATCACTAACGGCCAGACCATCAACGGCTAACTATCAAATCCCGAAGACTTCCCACTATTATCGACGTTTGCACTGTTGATATACTTTCCCACACTTTCCAATCTGTTCATTTCTTACGTATGGACTATGTTCGTTCTCTGTAATTGTTCACCACCATTTTCCTATTCTATGGAAAATTTTCAATGATTGTGGAGTTATGAAAAGCACGTCATTTTCAAAAATGCTGTTGTGACTTTGTAATCATCTAAATAGGAATCTTTTCTCCGATATATGAATAATAGTTTGATATGTTTTCATCGGTTTGGTCGAGAATTCAATTAAGCTTAAAATGTTAGCATACCAGTGATGTGTATTCTTTACCCCCTTCATCTATGTTCAGCATTAAACGAACAAATAAAATCATTCATTATTCATGATATATCCATACTTTATTCAACTTATACCCACAACGGTCAAATCTCAACACCAAAATCTTGATCCGTGAGATCTAAAATCCCTACCAGTATTGTTAGCTCGACGAGCTCGATCACTTCTTAAGAATTCTACGTCCCGTTAAATTCCCACCGCTGTGGGCTATTCACGGGTGTACTAAGGGACCTTAGCACGGCCAGTTCCACAAATCGAAATGATATTCGTTTGGTAATCTAATAATTAGTATGCGATAAGAATGGCAAATGGTGCAATACCGATGGATCAATTTTTTCCATGTCGAACACGCTTAGTGGCGGTATGAGACTTCTCTTGCGTATATACTAGTTCTTGTAACTTTTGCCATGCCTCACTTACATTTCACATCTCTTGGTATTTTCTCTTGTTTCAACATTCAGTCTTGGAGAAATGGGGTTTTCATCTTTGAGAAGCCGCCTCTTTCCTCGGCAGCAGGAGGACAACATCACCCCCGCATCCGTCGATCATCAAAATGATGGGGTAGCATCGAGTGTTACTGGCACCGACGAAATCAGTAAATCCATTGAGGAAAATGGTAATCCAACTGAGAAAATCGATCCCGAAACAAATGTCAAAGAGTCCTCACCTATCGTTGAAAGTTCACCTCTCGACATCGAAAAGGCGACACCAACATCAGGAAGGTTTGGTGATGACGATCCATTACTTAAGGATATTCCATGGCAAGTTCGCCGAATTGTCAGTCTCGAGGATGATCCTACCGAACCTACAATCACGTTCCGCTATTTTCTTCTGACCCTGATATTCGTCGCACCGGGAGCTTTCTTATCACAAATGAGCCATTTCCGTACCACATCCGCTCCATACTCCGTCTTCTTCGTTCAAATCTGTTCGAATTATGTTGGTGTTTGGCTAGCAAAGGTTCTTCCAGCCAAGACCATCTGGTTACCATTTGGAGGAAGCTTTAGTCTGAATCCAGGTCCATGGGGAACAAAGGAACATGTGTTGGTTACCATTTCTGCAGCATCTGGTGCCACTTACAACTTGGCCTACGCCCCAATTTCTATCGCCGAGCTCTACTTTGGAATCACCATTAATCCAGCAGTTGCGATATTCTTTATGTGGTCCGTAGTATACATTGGGTATTCTTTCGCAGCTATTGCTAGACAATTCTTGCTCTATGATCCTGTATACCCATGGTATCAAGCGTAAGTTCAAGACTTTTTTCGACGTCCTTTCAATCCTACTGCTCCTGTCTCAACTAGGCTTTTACACTGCTCTATTCCAGCTTGTTCTTTTGCAGCGGGACGTAGTGAGAATGTTAGAGAATGATGATCGCTAACTTTGAATTTCATAGACTCTGTCAGACTGCTCTCTTTGAAACTCAAAAGAAGCAGAGACAACATCCATCCCGTGTTTCAAAGAAACAGATGAGAGTATTCTTTGGAGTTCTTGCAGGAATCACTCTATGGCAATTCCTCCCAGAGTTCGTGTTTCCAATGCTTGGGTCCTTGGCATTCCTCTGTTGGGTTGCCCCAAAGAACAAGGTTGCGAATTTCATGGGCTCAGGTTTGGGGGGAATGGGTTTCTTAAATCTGACACTTGATTGGTCAAGTATTGCTAGTTTGAGTAATTCCAACAGCTTGTTCGTAACTCCTTGGTGGACTCAAGTAATCATCTTCCTGGCTTTTGTAGTCAACTGTTGGATATTGCTTCCGGCCGCGAAATGGGGAAGTCTGGGTAGTTGGAAGCCTGAGTTGATGTCTAATCGTCTCTTCATGGGTATGTCACATGTCCAGAATAATATTTTGATAAAAACTAATGAGTCATCAGAAAATGGAACTTCTTATCCTACCACCAAGCTCATCACTCCTCAAGCCACACTCAATGAAACTGCTTACGAGGAGTACGGGCCAATCTACGTTGGTACTCAACAACTTTGGAACATGTTCTTCGATTATGCAGCATACACCTCCGGTATCAGTTGGATTTGTTTCTTTGGATTCACACAAATCAGAGATACACTTAAAAAATTGAACGCTCGTCGTAAGAACAAAGTCGAGGGAGAAACCATCAACCATCAATATGGCGACCAATTGAATATCCTCCAACGTTCTTATAAAGAAGTTCCTTGGTGGTGGTCATTGATTCTTTTCCTTATTACCTTTGTCATTATGATGGTAATCTTGGGCACCGGCAATCTTTTCATTCCTCTATGGACTTATTTCATTGCGGTTCTTACAGGTGTTGTGGTCGTTATCCCGCTTGGCTGGCTATATGCCCTTTCCAACTTTCAACTTCCAATCGGTACCTTCAACGAACTCTTGTATGGCCTGATGGTTAACGCGGTCGACGGACACAAGAATCCTTCGGGTGCATCGGTTTACTCATCCCTCGCCGGTGATGCATGGTATCGTGCACAACTTATGCTTCAAGATCAGAAAATTGGTCACTATATGCATATTCCTCCTCGAGACACCTTCTTTGCTCAAGTCTTCGGTTGTTTCATTGGTATTCCAATCAATTATGGTGTCGTAAAATGGGTACTCAGTTCAAAAGCGGATTATTTGAGTGGTGCTGTAACAGATCCAACACATCAATGGACTGGACAAGGTCTCGCTACTACGTTGACTACTAGCACGCAATATGTTCTCATCGGACCTCTACGCCTCTTTCAGTTGCCTATTTTCAAACCTCTTCCATACGGGTTCCTTGTTGGAGCACTTTGCCCACCCATCATTTATGTTCTCCACCGTCGCTTTCCCAACGCTAAATTTCATCTCTTCAATACCACCATTTTCTTCTCTGGTCTTTCTACATTTTACGGAAACATCTCTACTGGATACACTTCTTCCATTATTGGTGGTTTCATTGTTGCCTACTGGGCGTACAGATATAGATATGAGATGTGGGCACGATATAATTACATCCTTGCTGCTGCTTTCGATGCAGGATTCAATTTGAACATGTTATTGATTTTCTTGTTCTTTGGCGCAGGCAAGGTCGTTACCATGCCAAATTGGTGGGGCAATAATGCAGATAGTACAGATAGATGTTTTGCTTTGGAGTAATTGGGGTGCATGATGTTATGGTTTATGGATATGAAAGATTCCCAGGATGTACGTGGTGTTATGAAGCTCGATTCGAGATAATGATAATGAAGATATTTTATTGAATTTTTGGTGCTTCCATTTGAATTACCCTGTGTATATGACTCCTTACTTATTGCAAGATAGCACTATCTTTTCGGACTGCCTCACCCCCACTATTCGCCGTGTTGTTAACACCAGTCCCATTCTTCAAATAACAAAACTCCCCATCCTTTATTACCATACTGACCGCCCTACATAAGCCCCCTCCTACGTCGATCCCACCTTGCAAATTGGTAGAGTAACCCGCGTTATACTCTGCGCAGGCCATCATACACTGAATTAGATCCGGCATATATATCTTCATGATGTCATGGATCCCTGGATTTCCATATTGAGCGCCAGACGGATAGTTTGTGTAACAAGCGACGCGAAAAGTCTGCGGTATGCCTGATAAGTTGACAGCCGAACCCTCTGAAGAGAGAGGCTGAACGAGAGAATCATTAAATGTGGAAAATTCATCGGAGCAGTGGGAGGCTGGCGCAGTCGATACTGATGGATTAAATGGCGCGGATGACGTCGTAGATGATGAAGCTATATTTGAATTATCTATAATCAGTCCAGAGCTTGTGGTTGAAGATGCTATTGAATTTCTGGTACTCGTGGAATATATGGCGCTTGTTGTTGTCGATGATACCACAGCGGCAGAATTCTCTGACCCCGAACTCGTGTTGATAACTGTGCTAAGATAATAGATTAAAAGCAATCCATCAATGTCTCATAGGCTTAAGCTACCCCTTGCATTCATTCCTTTGTGCCGCAATCCCAGCTACTACACCTCCACTTATTCCACCTCCGACAATGAGACATAGTAAGACTACCAAAGCCCAAAATGTTCCGATCGATAACCCCGCGATTTGCCTACGCTCTAATATTGCACCCTTTTCACCCTGTATTTTAGAGCGGGTTTCCTGTGATGAGCATGGCCATGTTTTCCGTGAAGAAGCATCTTGTACCTCAAGACCTGGTTGAGTCTCAACGGATGTGTTCAAGCATAAACCACTTTTCGAAAAGTTTTGCTTGTAGATATCCATCGGCGTGTTATTATAGAAAGATATCTGAAAACATTGAGTAAGAAAGATCGAAGAAGTATTGACTTTGCAGGATGTGGGCAGTGAGTTTCTACCGAAGATTTGCTAAATCTAAAAATATTCATTGAAGGCACAAGGAAGATAAACGAATGAGGTGGTAATGACTCCTTATGCTATGACTCGTCAAATATCATCGAGAAATATTTTGAAGCGCCGAATTGTTCCATTGAATCTGCGGCTGGAAACTTTTTAATATAGATCTTTTTTGGAAGAGACCAATGAGAAAGGAGACATCTTGAAGTTCAAGAACGTATCGCTGAAGGATTTCGACGCTGAAGGATCTCGACTCTGAAACAACTACGGAGATTTCGAAGCTCAAGCCTTGTGAGATTGGGGTACAAAAATATGTTTGTATAACCCTTGTAGGGAGAGTTTTCCGAAAGACAGACCGATGCAACGTTCTGTAAAGTAAATTGAAGGGACAAGCCAAATAGATCAACTGTTTGAGCATTCACTTAGAGTCAGATAGTATGAAGATGAGAACACACGAGACACGCAAGTACTTACTGCTGTGATGGACGAGAAAAATTGGAATCAAGTAGTACGCTTATACTATGAATACAGAGACATTGGTGTTCATTGATTGATACATATCATGGCGGGGGCTCAAATACCTAGATTCCCTCCGTGAATGATGAGAGAAAACATACTCCTTTGAATAGATATTGAGAAGGTCATCTAGAGGAGTAGATATTGAGCTGACTAATACCCTCACATCTAATCTTATCTAATCTACGAAGCCTAAGATCAACAAAAATAATTTGTTACCAAAGCTTTTTGAGCTTCACGAATTGGAAGCTTTCAAGAAAGACTTGTATCATTCACATCGTTGCCTCTTATACGTTCCCCACCTCAGCAGAAGGTCATTGGCATAACCTCTGGTCCATAGAGAATTCACATACTTTGTCAGTTTGTGTCCGCGAACATCCCATTACATATTCCCTTTGACGCCCTCCTCAAGATCACAATCATGCCTCTCGACACTTCAACCTACTCTCTTGCTCTCCTTCGCCTTGACGGTCGCAGATGGAATGAACTTCGCCGTCTTACAGCACAAATCTCAACTCAGCCGTCCTCCGATGGATCTTCGTATCTTTCAATGGGCAATACCCAAGTTCTCTGCACAGTGACCGGACCTTGCGATCCCTCAAAATTACGATCAATTGGCGGTGGTGGAAGTAATAATGCGGGGGAAAAAGCGGAAGTAAGAGTGGAGATCAGTTTCGCAGGCTTTGCAGGCGTGGATAGGAAGAAGTATGGCAGGAATGATAAGTAAGTCTCCTTTAATTCGCTACATATTGCGAATCTCAACTGTCCTGGCTCGAGTGGAATGGAAACTAATCAGGTTCACCGCAGACGTATTCAAGAACTTTCCAATACCTTATCCACAACCTTCACTCCTCATCTTCTTACCACTTTGACTTCTCATTCGACAATCCTCATTTCCCTTCACATCTTATCATTAGATGGCTCGCTTCTCTCTGCTCTTATCAATGCCTCGACTCTTGCCTTAATCGACGCTGGTATTCCAATGCCTTCTTATATTTGCGCTTGTACAGCTGGTTCTACATCTTCATACTCGAGTAATGATGAGAAAGCAGACCCGCTATTGGATTTAAATTTGGGTGAGGAGCAAGAATTACCATTCCTCACGGTTGCGACAGCTGGAGAAGGCGATGGTGATGGAGTCGTGGCATTGGTCATGGAGACAAGGGTACAAGCCGGTAGATTGGAGGGCATGTTGGCTGTGGGAGTGGATGGGTGTAAACAAGTCAGAGAAATTCTAGATGGAGTGATTAGAACTAGAGGGAAGAAAATATTGAGTGGTGCAATGGCTTAGTAGGGCCAGATCTGTACATCATACGAGGGAAGAACAGCATCATTAGATGATACCCAAGTGTTTAAATGGCGTCATAATGGAAATGGGATAGGATGGCAGGAATGGAAAAACATTACATCAAGGGAACCGTGTGATGATTAATAGAAGTTTGGCGCATGCCTCATACATTCACAAAATGAATGAAGGTATATTTTTTACTATTACTATGCAAACTAAAAACAAATGCTGCAAACTAACGTTCCAGGAGAACTCGTGAAACCGAATTCGTCCTAAGAACTCTGAGATTCCCTAGCAAACACCTGCTTAAAGTTCTCCATGTTTGATCTCGGGCTCTGGAGTTGGTGGTTCCCAATCTTCCGGGAGCTCCTCAATGACAATCATAGGCTCATCTGCAGCTTTTGGTTCTGGTTCTGGAGCTGCTTCTTCCACAACAGTTTCCTCAACCTCTTCAGGAATGAGTCCCTCAGGAATCTTCTTCTTCTCGCCTTCACCTAATCTGATGGCGTCAACCCAATTCTCAATTGCTTCGATTGTCACATCCTCAGAAACTAGGGAGTCGCCCTTGCTAGGGAGGGCACGAAACCAATTTCGTCGCCCATTGAGAGCAATGATTTCAGCATCGCCTTTCAACCCTAAAGTTTCTTTGACTTGAGAGAACCCAGGGTTTTCGGCTTGAAGAATATAGAATGGGAATAACTTTCGTTGATGTAAATGATGTTTATGGGAAACTTCGGCCAATGATGTAGAAGCTAAACCCGTGATCTCATTCGAGGTATCTGGAAGAAGTGCAAGAATACATGTACCGGTTTTAGGACCAAGACAATTCTTCTTGAGGTCGGTTTCAGAAGTCAGAATAGGAATTGCAGGCGCTGGTGGAAGTACAATCGGTTTCTCCGTTTCAATTTCTGGTGATGGTGATTCAGTGGGTTGATTTCCTAATGTTTCATCTGTTTGAGTGACAGGCTTTTCGGATTTGGCGTGAGATTCCGATGCTGCTTCGAAAGATTCCTTTGCTTTTGCGGAAGACTTTTTGTTTGTTTTGGATTTGGAAGCTTTAGCCTTTGCTGCTGGGGGATCTGGATTTGGTTCGGCAGCTTGTGTAAGAAATTTGACCATGCCATCCTTCTTCAATTCTCCATCATACACAATTCCTTCAGCTGCTTCTCCACCAGGTAACAAAATAAGTGTAGGAAATTCAGTGATGCCAAATAATTCAATGGAAGCTTTCTCTGTGTTTCTGATCTGTGCCACCTTGATACTGCCCTTGAAATCAATGGCAATGGCTTTCAATGTTGCGCTTGTCTTTCCTTTGTCGGTAAATAAAATTGCCTTCGCCGTGTCGTTCGCATCGGCCAAAAAACTCTCCAAATCTTTATCTGTAACTCTCTTTACAAGATTTGGAATTTTATCGACTACTGCATCGACAATTCCTTTCGCAGTTCGTGGTCCATTGTAATCTTCAACGATTGGCTTTCCGGGTTTGCTTCCAGGTTTAACAATCTTGAGAGTAGGGAAACCTTGAACACCGAATCCTCCGCAGAAAGCTTTATTCGATTCTTCATCGCAATTGACTGCTGCTACTTTCGCGAGACCAGCAAGACTCTTGGCGGCTTTTTCGTAAGCTGGTTGAAGGTTCTTGCAATGTCCACACCATGGAGCATAAAATTCAACGATCTGTATGACGGAAGGTTAAAGACTGATGTGCCAATAGAGTGATTGAGGATCGGGGGAATACCTACGGAAGTATGGTTTGATTGAGCAATCATCCGATCATAATCCTTCCCATTAATTGACAAAACAGCTGAACTCTTTGGGTACAATCCAGCATGAACTGCGGGCAAAGCACACAGCAAAGCCGCAGCTGCAGTTGAAATGACTCCAGTATTAACCATTTTAAATAATTGTAAATTGTAATTGCTACCTGTAGCTGTAGGAGCTATTGAAGTTTATCGATACATGTAAGAAGAAAAACAGAGTGGCAGTATGTGAAGGCGTTGGTTGTATTTATGTATGCGAAAAGGCCACAGTCGCAAGATGTGTATTACGATACGAGGTGGATGAATTTGGATGAGGTATCATTATCAAATGAAATCCGGGGTAAAATACCTACAGAGTACTAGGTACTACTAGTGGCTTCCCGTCCGTACTGCTACTTTAGCGTTAATTGAGCGGTGAAATGGCAGAATTCAATTAGTGAGGGGCGGGGTTATCATATTCAATCGTAAGGCTGGATTTACTGTTCTAGCATCGCATCGCATCGCATCGCCGTGCATTCTCATCATACCATTCACTATACCATTCACAAAGAGAAGTCTAGGTAGATCTTTTAACAAATCAACAAGTATTCTTATACTCAACCTCGCTGCTGCTCTCAACTCAAGTGCAAATCTTATATGCAGCGCAAGCTTTCTCATCCGTCTCTAATCATATCCCACCCTACTTATACTCACCGAGTCACCACTCTGCAACTCAACAGCCATAGTCAATAATGGCGTCACAAATCCCCCCAAAGTTGAAGACCGCAGACTTAACTCGATTTATTATCAAGGCGGCACAGCTCGAAAATGCGAAGCCGGTTATATCATATTGGTGTACGTTTTAAAGTCCATATCGCACAACTCAAATTCTAACATTACCATTCCCACAGGTGAATACTGGATCGTCAACCAGATACTTTCGAAAGGACTGCATACTGGAGATGCAGAGACACTACAATATACTACTACTTTGATGGAAAAACTTGAGAGGGTATGATAATCCCTTGTCTGCGAATCGAACTATAGTTAAATCATGGCAGATAAAATCCGAGAATCCAAATAACGATGCAATTATGGATGATACTGCAGGTCAGGCATATTGCGAACAATTTGGGTTGGAAATATTTTCAAGGGCAGATCGAGCTGTGGAAGCAAATAAAGTCACAAAGTACGATCTTGATAGTTCTATTCTTCTTACACATTGACTGACGATCTCTAGACAAACTGCGGAAACTTTTCAAGCCGCAGCAACCTTCCTGGAACTATTGAATGTCTGGTCACCCCCAGATGCCGAAACTCAAGCCAAGATCAAGTATGCAAAATGGAACGCAGTTCGTATCGTTAAAGCATTGAAAGAAGGAAAAGATCCTAATGAATCTAATCCCAAACCACAACCAACTCCCAAGGATGAACTACCACCATTAGATCCAAATGATCCAGAGGTACAGTTGTTGGGGGAACAGAAAGCACAACAAGCTTCTGTGGAAGATGTCACCGATGAGCAAGATCAATTGGAAGCAAAGTTAGCAAGGCAATCATCATTAGATCGATCTTTACATCCCTCTAAACAAGTATCTGCTCATGGATCGCCAAACAATGAATCGGCTCCATTTGAACCATATCCTCGAGATGGTTTTCCATATACTGCAGTCCAAGACGATAATGTGTCCCCTCTCGAGCCATCCCCGAAAGATAGGAATGGATCTATAGGAGGAGGATATTTTCCAGAAGTTCCAACCTTTACATCTGAACCTCGAGATGCAACTTTACCAACAGCTCCCGCTCCAGATACCACGTTCGATCTTGGTTTACCGGATACATCTTCTCTTGCAGCACCTGGTATCTCTCCCGGGATGAAACCATCTCCAGATTTCCAATCCTTTCCGCCCCCAACTTTACCTGGGGAACAACCGTCAGTTACTGCACCTCAAGACTTTTATCGTCAACCTCCACCATCGGACCATGGAAATTCACATGTACAACCTACCAACCAGACCTATCAACCTGGACCTCCCCCATCAAATAATTTTACTGCACCAATAGTACCCCCAATCACACAAGCTCGCGGTCAATTAAATACGGACGATGAAGCAATTGCTAAAGCACAAAAACATGCAAGATGGGCAATTTCAGCCTTGAATTTTGAGGATGCTGAAACGGCAGTAAAGGAGTTAAGGGCAGCACTACAAACTTTGGGTGCGCAATAATTTTGAAGACAAGTGATACTTTGGAATTCGATGTATTTAAATCAATAGGCGGCAGGTTCACATGTGATTTTGCAAAGCAAATACCCAATTATTATTCAGTATCTTTTATTGGCAGAATTTCTATCCGATTCATTGCTTAATTCAATATGTTTCAGGCCTAACATTCAAGTCCTCAATCCAAAGCCTTTTTCTGAATTACAGCTTTACTGCCAATTGCAATGTGGTTCTCACACCCTTCGTTTCTAGCATTATTCTCAACGGTCTGGACTATCGAGAACACTGATATAGTCTAGTATCATGAGAATTATCACTCTTGAATATCAGGAATTTTGACTATCACTGTATTTCAAGTCAAGTGGCTTTAATGTAATAACATTACTTGGGATTTAGGGGAGATCTCCATTAGCGAAATTAGCGAAGCTGGAATTGAAGCCGGGAACATTCTGTGCAATAAATATTCCTGACAAAATCCATAAGTCCAACGCGTGTTCCGAATCATTTAAAATGAATTTTACTTATATAGTGCAAAGAGGCCCTCGTCTCAACCATATATTCCACAGCGCTCTTTTGAAAAGTATGTCGTTGTTCTTATCGGATCTTCCTCGATAGCATAGATCTTGATCATAGATCCATGTCTGGCGGAGGTGTGATTTACAAGACGATGCACAGCCATGGTCGTTTTGTATAATCGCCAGAAACGTTCTCAAACATCTTCATGAGTATGATACTCCGACCTTTTATAACGATATTAGGTCCCGGTCTCAGAGCTTTGAAAATGTTCATAATAAAAAAACAGTCGCTAATGCCAAATTCGCTCCATCTATGTTTCAAGTAAAGCTTATTACAATTCAAAAACCAAGATGAATATTTAGTTCATTTTGCTTCTAGCTATCGAGATACCTACTTAGTCTGTCAATTTCTATCACAACCTCCACTCGCTATGCACTGCTGCTCTACAGCTCCATTGACTTATTTTGCTTCAAACATTAGAAGTTGACACACGAGTATAGCTCAGTCTTGTGAATTCAAGTACGTTATTATCAAAACTCTGAACATTGTAATAATCCGGCAGTCCCCCTTCACTCACTAAAGACTGTCGCTTTCGGTCTTAGATATTAGTATCAAATAGTAACAATAATAATCAAGGTACTTGGAGACAAACTGAAGATATCTACTACAGTAGGCAAATAATATAAGGCCATTGACTTATGTATATGGGAAATTCAGATACCAATAGAGTCTCAAGTTTAATATGATTTTGAAGTGATTCATTTGATAATATAATACACTCGATGATAAATCACGTTATTCTTTCGGTTAAAAAAAGCACGCTTTAACGGATCAAAGTTTTGCAAAGTTGAGGGGAGTCGTTTGTTACTTCGTTATTTTTAAAGTGGAGAATTCCGAAGGTTCCGTCACCGCGGCGGACGAGACTCCTTTAGTATCAACACTAATTGACCACGAAAAACTTAGATCTTAGACCTTGGTAATTAGGACGAACAAAATCATTACTCACGTCAATATCTTCTGTGAAAGCGCCTGCGTACAGCTACACTCTTCCGCCGCGGTCTTCAACCACGACGTTAAGTCTCTTTTCAGACTATCAAGGTATATAAAGTAGACCTCTCGCTGATTTTGATGTATGCATACAACATCTTCTTCAAAAAGCTGTAGCCTCTCATCAATAATTCTTACCATGGCAGCCCTCCCAAAAACTTACAAGGCCTTCCGTCGCACGGTTGGCACCACTCCTACCACACTCGAGCAAACTACCGAGGAGATTCCAGCAACACTTGGTCCAAACGATGTCCTCATCAAGATTCATGCAGTATCGCTAAACTACAGAGATGTAGCAATGATGCATGGGAAATATCCAGCTGAGGTCATAGATCGTGGGGTCCCCGCCAGTGATTGCGCAGCAGAAGTCATGAAAGTTGGTTCCGAGGTCCATAACTTCAAAGTTGGGGACCCAGTTGCTCCAATCTTTGACCTCTATAACGTAGACGGTACAAGAGATGATATATCAGTTTTGGGAGGTGATATCGACGGTGTCTTGCGAGAATATGCCGTGTTCCACCAGGACGTGCTTTTTCACCTCCCAAATCACCTTTCATGGGAGGAGGTGAATTAAGATATTTCTTCGGCGAGTACATTTGGAGATTGCTAATTAATATCTTATCCAGGGTTCAACTATCACCTGCGCAGGTGTGACTGCATGGACTGCTCTAGACATGCCGAGAAACAAAGGAACCGCTCTTCTTCAAGGTAAGATTCAGTTTTATCCTGTGCCATCAGCATTGTTGAGAAATCAATAGGCACCGGCGGGGTGAGCTCTTTTGCATTGTTAATATGCTTGGGTGCAGGTATCAAACCCATCATTACTTCTTCCTCGGACAAGAAACTCGACATCGCAAAAGCAGCCGGAAAAGCGGGCGAGGTCGAAACGATTAACTATCGCACGTATCCTAAGTGGGAAGAAGAGGCTATCAAGCTCACGAATGGCCGGGGAGTTGACATTGTGGTCGATAACGTGGGACCGACACAAGCTGCTCAGAGTCTTACTGCTCTCGCAAGAAGAGGTGTGCTTTCTATGGTCGGATTTTTAGGCGGTCTTAAAGCGGATCAGACCCCAGATCTGTTCTCTCCAACTCTGCAAAAGTCCTTGGTTATAAGGTACGTTAATTGAAAATTCAGACTTAGTTATCGCAAGTACTAATCAATCTCTCCAGGGGAATAATGGTTGGCGACAAGAAAGACCACCGAGACGTTTGCGACTTCTTGGAAGCGAAGAAAATTGATCTGAAAGGAATTATAGATCCAGGCGTATTTTCGTTCAACGACTCTCAAGCCGCGTTTGACGCGCTCTATGATGGAACTAAGCACCAGGGTAAGATTGTTATCAGGATTTAGGCTGTAGTACTTTCAGTATAGACGGCAAGGTAGAAATACAACTCATTTGAACATCGAAATGCAGTTGCATAATAAGATCATCAAGTGAAATAAAGTAAAATTGATTTTCGAGAGAAGAAATTTGCATAGTAGCCCACAATTCAAAAAAGCCACAGCTTTAAAAAAAACCCCCCCAAAATGATCATTTCTGAACATTTATCAAATAGAAAGTCATGAATAAGTACTCCACTCTAGCGTGTCTCTGCTTAAGATTGTACTGTGGCTATAATTCCCAACAAATATCTTTTATTCTCCCCAATAGAGCTTTCTAAAAGGGATTAAGCTCAGATGTAGAGTATGATCGTGGGCGCCCATTTCCAGCTTCCTCCGGTGTCATTAAAGCCACAGTATTATCAGCATTATTTGCCCCATGATTAATCCATAATTACTTGATCTATCTCCTGACTTAGTCGAAGTCGAGATACGTTTATATACTCTCTATCGTAAATTGTGGATCGCATAATTTACTTTAGTTGGTGAACCACCCCTCGGTAGATAAACGAACTCTTTTATTTGAAAGCGAAACTTTACACGTTCAAGATACCATAGGGCTCGATGGGATCTCTGGTAGCGGTTTAGCGTTGTGTATTGGTTAGAGTATTCAAAGAGATACAGGCCATCGCATCATTGAATCTCTTTGTAACTTTCTAAAAGTTACGTAGTTCCAACTCATCTTTAACAAACGAGATTGCAACGCACCCCACCCTACCCAGCCAACAAACTACCCAGACTGAGACTCCCACAAAGCTTTAAACTTCCCTCCTTTTTCCTTCAAAAGAACATCAGGATCCCCACACTCCACAATCTTACCCTCTTCAAGCATCACAACCCTATCAAACACCCTTATAGTATCTAATCGATGCGCCACAGCAATAACCGTACACCCAACAAAATGCTCCTCTATAGCCCTCTGCATCACCTACTCAGTTCCTACATCCACATTCGCTGTCGCCTGATCAATAATCACAACCTTCGACTGCCGAAGCATCGCTCCGGCCAAACAGAAAATCTGCCGTTGTCCATAAGATAACAAGCTTTCTGCTTCCATATGCACATCAAGACCACCAGTATTAAAGATGAGGGTCCAAAGGCCGAGCTTTTCGAGGTCTTCTTGGGCCTTGGTGGGGGAAGAGGTGTCAAGGTTTTGGAGGATCGTACCTTTGATGAAGATTGGCTCTTGAGGGATCGTATTTAAGCGTTCTCGGAGGACATTGCCGGTGGTTCTGAGTAAGTTGATGCCATCAACGGTAATCGTTCCATTGTTGATATCTAGCGTATGGAGGAGTAGCGCTACGAAGGATGGTTTTCCAGGATCAGAAGGGCCTCAAATTCCATTTTTTCCCCCGGCGGTGATAGTGAGGTTGATTTCTTGAAGAGCAGGGGATTGGTCCAGTGCATAAGAAGCCGTAACTTCTGATAGAACGATTTCGCCTTTCGAGGGCCAGTTCGAAGGTACTTCTTGCATTTCTTCGGGCTTGTTATTAGAAAGAGTGATTTGAACGAATGATTTAATTCGTGAGACAGCGCCTAAGGATGTCTCGGTAGCCGTCCAATTTATGATGACTGCGGACAGTGACATGTTGAATGACATAATCTTTAAAAGTGCCAATCCAAGGAAGCCCGTATTTGTGTTATGCCTTAACGTTACTATCAATGCTACCAGACCGCCAAAAAGTAAGTCGATAACTAGGACAAGCCATTCATGGATGCAGTATAAAAGATAGAATGGTCTTTGCGATGCACCGAGTAAGTTCATATTTCATTTAGACACCTCCTGGGCCCAGCCAAATGCTCTAATAGTAGTTAGTAAGAGTTGAGGCCCCGGCTTATCGCACACTACCCTTTTTCGTGACAAAATCCCTGCAAAAAAGTCGTTTTCCTATACAAATTTATTTCTTTTATAATTTATTTAATAATTAAAGAGTTGATTTGAAAATCTCTTATATAAGAAATTACTATATTTAAAATCTTAAAAAATGAATGAATTATTTTTAGCATTTTTTTTGATATAGTTATAGGTTTTCAAAATTGAAATTTTTCGAAATTTATCACATATAACGCTTTTCCCATACAAAAAAATCGATTTTTTTAGATTTTTTGGAAATTCTAACTTTGAAAACCTACAACTATATCAAAAAAAATACTAAAAATAATCCATTCATTTTTTTGAATAATTTTAATAATTAATTATAATATATATCAATTTCGATAATTTCGTTTCTATATTTATTGAAATAATATATAGTTCAAAAGTTGAAGAAATGAAGGTTTTTGGTGTGTTTTCGGCTAGTGTGCGATAAGCCGGGGCCTCAACTCTTACATTGATTGTTTCTGGGAAGTCGCTATAGAGCGGTGCTTTTGCTTCCAAATCTATTAGTCGAATTTGACGGGGTTTGCGTAGGTAGAACTTATGTAACAAATACATGACTAACAGAACAAAAGTTACTACACTAGCAAAGTAGGAGGGCTATGCTTCTTCAATCTACGTTGTGCAAGGTACATCAGATTATGGTGTCTAAAACTCATTAAGAGTGTAATGAAGTTCATGCTTACATTGAGTTTTAGCGTCTGTAAATACTTACCAAATATTGCATTCACGAGTCCTTCAACAATAAAACCTTTGCGAGAGACAAATTCCTTCGGATGAACTACCCGAATCTGGAAATAATGTCGATTTCAGATAGCATTCCAACGGTGTCCTCGTCATGGGCAAATATTCCTCGAAAAGGGCAGGTGTTTTCGCTCGCTTTTTGCCGTGTATTTGATTTCATGCGGGTAGCTTCTTTTAAAACACTTTGTTATTATCATTTGAAGTCTTTCAGCACTTTGAGCCCGGAAGAAACGCTTTTATGGAAAACAAGAGTACAAGCAGCTTTTCGGCAGCACGGGTTTTGACGGCAGTACTCTGGGGCAGAACTACAGGCGCCGAGTCCTGTGGAAGAAAAAGAGTTCTGGTCATTGGGCTTTTTGATACTGGGGTTGGGTGTATAGGGATTGTGTTTTCAAATTTCAAAAACATTTTGGGAAGTTGTGGCTTGGAGGTTCTCCTCTGGTGCCCTAAACGGAACCGTGGGCATTGTGTATGATTGTGAGTCCCAATCATCAATATTACATTCTGTCTAAAGAGCTAGATATGTACAAGAAATAGTAGGCCTGAGATAAGGGCTATTGAAAGAGCTAGTCTCTTTCGCATTCGCTTAGGTGATACAGCAGCCTTTGAATTGAAGTCATTTACCTATGTCCATACACCTCCTCTGACTTCATACTACCAAGTGAATTATAATACGAGTCTCTTTAATAAGACACTTAGTTTACAATATTCTCAATCCTATATAGACAAGTGAAATCTTTACTATTAATTTTTCATTGAATTCAAAATTCACTCTTTCAAATTCAAAGTTGACTGAATTTGTCATAAATCGGATACCCTACTTTCGGGCCACCCCTATTTTGGGCCACTTTTCAACCACTTTTTATACCAAAAATGGAATTTTTAACTTTTTTGTTTAAGGATAGAATTTATTGAAAATTTATTTATATATAATTTAAATCGATCTAAGTTTATTCTGCAATTTTCAGATTTTCAGGATTTTCCTGTATTGAGATCTAAAGCTTTAAAATATCGATTTTTTAATTTATATAAGAATCCTATACAAATTTAGAAATTCTATAAAATCTTTAATAACTTTCTAATAAAAATTGCTAAAAATAAATTGTAAAATTTTATTTTAAATTTATAATATATTCAATCTAATGGATTCAAAAAAAATAGAAAATCTATTATAAATAAATATTTATAAAATTACTCTCAAAATAACAAGGATTATTTATATTATTCTAAATTCACTATATATTATATTTCTATATCTGTTAATTTTTTTAAATTTTTTTTTGAATTTCTATATAGATTTAAGTTTAAATATCTCAAAAATATATATGATTTTCTTTTAATAATTGTTATTAAAAAGTTATTAAAGATTTTATAAAATTTTTAAATTTGTATGTGATTTTTATATAAATTAAAAAATCGATATTTTGAAGCTCTAGATCTCGATACAGAAAAATTCTAAAAATCTGAAAATTTCAAAATAGGCTTAAATCGATCTAAATTATATATATATATAATTTTCATTAAATCATATTATATATTGATAGAGATATTAATAGGCCTAAAAAGTGATTTTTGGTGTGAAAGGATGGCCCAAAACAGGGGTGGCCCGAAAGTAGGGTACCCGACTTATTGTATAATTTTCGATCGACTATCTAATAAGTCATACTCACATGACTGTCGAAATGTGTATCAAATAGATACCTACTAATAGTTACAAAATCACAAGCTCATGGTATTTTGGAGCGGTATCTAACGTTGTAAAAGATGAAAAGCTCATCATTCTAAATCTGATTACCGTAGAAGGAAATTGAAATAATCTAGGTTTAGTTTTCCAAGGAATCTTGAGAAGAGATAAGTTGAGTATCAATCTTGAGAGTTTCACATCAATCAATCAAGTTTGGGATACAAATAAATTCAATTTAGAAGAGGGAATGTATCAGGTAGTTCCAGGTAGTTGGATTAATAGCTGATGAACTTTCAAAGGGCTCTCTTAAGGGCGCTCGAGCCTCTTCTAAGAATGATAAAGTCTTTTCTCTACCCCAGAGTAACTTCCTTTCAACTTCTTAACACAAGTCACAACTCTTCTACTTCTTACTTTGTCTACTCCATACTACTTTTCAACTATTCAACTTTTAGAACTCCTCATTCAACCTTCTGAAGGGACAAAAGAAGTTGACAATACAATTCAGTCATTTAGAGTTGTTAGAATAACTCAATCATCCAGAGCGGTCAACATCATTCAATCATCCATAGACATTAACACAATTCAATCATTCCAAAGATATCAGCACAATTGATACATTCGCAAAGCCTGCCTAAGAGATTCACTATGGTGTTAACAATAAATAGGTTATGGTCAGGTATGCTCTTGATTGAAACGCTTACAAAAGCCCTTGCCTTTGCCTTTTTCCAAAACTTCAACAAATTTTTCACAAATCTACCTCTCCCCGAAATCATTCTCGCAATTTCCACTTTCACGGTGGCCGATACCAACATTTCAGACTGGAACTCATTCTATCTCTATGTCTTACAAACACTTTATACTGAGGGCCCGTTCGGATCGTTTTTTTAATTTGTTGACAAAATAATATGTTGACTAATAATTTAGCCTAAATTTGTGAATATAGGTTCGAAATTTGTAGCCTACAAAATGTAGAGTAACAATATGTTGATAAATGCTGGTCAAAGTTGCATTACAGATTTGGCGAGGCTGTCATACAAATTTTCAAATTTTATCGACTCACATTTTGTAGCTTTTTGTAGCCAAACATAGCATTCGGCAAAACGCTTTTTTCCAATTTTGTAATCAATATAAATTGTTGAGCTACATTAGCGTTCGGTAAACACTCATTTAGGCCTATATTGGCAACAAATATAGCTCTACATCGCCTAAAAAATCGATCCGAACGGGCCCTAAGGTGTTGCAAAATGCCACTCCCAACGATGTTAAGAACTTCCTTCAGCAAATCCTCAGAATTCCTCCCTCAATTTTGGAGTTTATCGTACTATTCCTTATTGTTTGTTCGGTTATTTGGATCGTACTCAAAAGCATCGCCGTAATTGGTACTTTTGCATCCAAGGTTATCCAACCGATTTCTATCCCCGAGAGTCTCAAAGTACTTTGTACTTTTGCCTCTGAGATTGCAAAACATGTTTGCATTCTTATAGGCGTTGTCGTCCTTATTATAGACGCTCAAGTAAGTATGGATTGTTGGGTTTCTAGATGTTATTAAAATTTAATTTTGTACTAATTATTTTGTCAAATAGTCCAGTTCTCCAAAAATCGATTTCGAAAAAATAGTAAATTTCTATTTTACGCCTTGCAAGACTTCAGAGCAGTCAATGCCTCCACCTTTGATAAATGACCATTGATCTTGGTACGTGTAATACGATTCGTCTCATTGGGAAGGAATTGCGAAGGAAAGAATGGTTCAGTGAAATGGGATTTTGATTGGGGAGAAAACATGAAGGAATCAATGTCTGGGTGGAATGGGATTTTGATTGGGGGATATTATGAAGGAAACGGATTACGGAGCCAAAAGTCTTTCTGACTGGAAAGGAGTTAATCCTTGGGAAAAACAATGAGATCTGAATGAATCATACTCAACTCCAAAAATACCTATTGAGGTTCTCTACCTGCGTAATGATGTTTATACTCCACCCCTAACCCTGCTTACTTCGACCCAGAAGACAAGCGCAGTATCCAAGCAATTTCCAATCCCTTTGTCCAAGTAACTAGACTCGCCTCTTACGTCGCCGAGGCCATCTGTGAAAACGACACTTCATCCAAAGCCAGCCGCTCAAAAACTGTCAAATACGGCGTTTCCAAAACGCAAACGCAGGAAATGACAAACACCGTTGGCATTGAGGTCTCGGCTTCCGGTGGCTTCAAATTGGCCGAGTGGAGCGTCACGCTCAATTATCAATTTACTTCGAGTACGTCAAGCTCGTTCACGGAGTTTACTGAAAATGAGGTGGTGCAGCGATATGATGTGAATCCAAAGACATGCACAGTGATGTTTGTTAAACATATCTATGTGAGGGGGGCTAGGGATGCTGGGAGTACGATTTTGAATGAGATCAAGATTGCGGCGAGTAATGATGTGCATCTTTCGGGGTGTGGCCTTCCTTGATTAAGTTGTAGATACTGAGATTTGGGGTGGATTGAAAGACTGTGTCGGGATATCGGTCATGTGATCATAGAGGGCACTGTATTAGCCAGCGCGGCGCTAGCCTAGCGCTTCCCTATTAATTACTAGCTTCCCATAGATAATAATGATCAAGAACGAATAAAGCCATAATGGACCAGAGTACTTTACAATTATCAACCAACAGGTAATATAAGGGTTAGGTGTATAATAGCCTGAGGGCTTCTGGTGAGATGCGGAAATGAACTTAGAATGATCCCACATTGGTTGAACCCCTTTTGATCCAGTGTTTTTGAGATTGCCATCAAAGATTCCTTAGTCTACATGGATTGATGAAGTCAAAGCTGCTTTGCTATCGTTTGTTTTTTTGCTGGGGAAAGGTGACCTCTTCACATACTTCTTTCAATACGTGTTCTGTCTTCACCACATGCTGTCTTTTAGGATGTTACAAGTCTCCGATCAAGCAAAAGAATCTCGTCTAATGATCCTGCCCTGTACCTCTTCTCGCGAGCTGTGTTCGATTTCAACACCAAATAAAATCTTTGAGGATCTCCTTGATGATTTGGTGTGCTTGCGTATAACGAGTTATGCTGCAATGTATGCTTTCAGATAATTTTTGTGTACATATTTATGTTTGTCAACACCACGAATCTGACTCCATAGTCGATTAATGTTTATGGTCGCGCGTCATGATTGACTCAAAAATATGTACTCTACCAAAGTGACAATCTGAGACTGACCCAGCCTCACGATTTTAACTAGTTCTTATAGCACGTATGAAGTTGAACATAGGAGACAAAGAGAATAAAATGAATGCTTTGCATTTATGTCTCCCAGCCGGTTCGGGAACCTTCAGAAACTAATGTTTCACTTGTTTAATTTTCGGCCGAAATTGTTTCGGTTGTGCACAAGCTGCGATGAACCCAATTTCGGCCGAAATAACTATCCCCCATCACCTGCACAACCAGCATTCTAGAAAAGAAGTTCGATTGCAGCTCATTATTGTCGGAGTTTCATTCCCAAACGGCTTGAAGGAGCTCTGGTGCATTGTCGGTTCTGGCGGCAATTACAGCTATACCTGTAGCAAGCTCAATTTCTTGCTTCCAGTTTTTCAATAATGGTATTACATCGCTTTTCTATTTTAATAAAATAACCCAATTTGCTTTTATAGCGCTATCAATAATAAGGAGAAAATATCTGTGTCCTCGAATGGACCTTGGAAAAGGGCCAGCAATATCGAAATAAATCAATTCTGGTCTTTTAGATTTTTATATATTTAATTGGCTTAGGATTCTATTAGTTATCTTTGTGAAAGCATATACTTCATAGATATTAAAAGTTGAAGGGATCTTGATAGATCTTTGGAATGTAGTGACTTTGTGCAGATTCCTGATTTTGTTAGGGCCGAGATAATTGAAGTGTCTATGCCAAATAAGGTATCTTTCCTTCTCCGTTATGGTTAATTCTTCAACTTCCCCTTTCGTCCCATCAATAATCTCTATAGAGAACGTAAAGAATACAGAATCTTTATATCCTGGTTTCACATGCGAGATAATATACATCCCATCTTTCATTGTTGCTTTAATGATCTTATTATTCTTATCATTTTCTGATATGAAATACATCTTCTTGAAACTAAATATACCCTTAAGTCCTACCTCACAAATTCTTTTAACTGAGAGCAGATTAACCCCCAATCCAGATATATATAGCACACCAGCTAATGATATCCTTATTCCATTCTTACACATTATATCCACTGTTCCTCACTCATCCGAGTATATAACTCCCCCACCAACCGTTATCCTTTGTCGTGGAGTATAAATTAAACTTCTGAATAGAGAATGTTGGTCAGATATATGTAAAATGGCGCCGGTATCAGCATACCATTGCAATGGGGATGCCTTACTAATACTTTCTTTAATGAGATGACAATGCTCAGAATCAGACTCATTATCGACGACACTTTCAGTAACATCGGAGCTTGATTCAGCGATATGAGCCTTGTGCTCCCTGCATTTGTCTTTTCGCACTGGAGAGGTGGATTGTCTTCTCTTCTATTTGTGCTTTGAATCGGATTTCAAGAGATGCTTGGCGCGATGGAGCTGGAAGCATTTTAGAATTAAATAACCAGGTTTATCGCAGAGTTCGTAAATGATGATGGATATATCAGTCTCCAAGCTTGTGCTAGTCTTATGCTGGCGATGAGGTGGGATATATTTCTTTCCTTTTGCAAGGTGTGCCGAGTTTCCAGAGGTCTGGATCTCTGCCTCTTTGATCTGTAGATACTTGATCTTATCGTTAATGCTTAGAGTAGAACTGACAACACGGATTATATCAATGATGACTTTGTATTCATTAGGGAGAGATAAGATCAGGCTTTAAAAGAATGATTTATCTGTATACAAAGTATCGGCTGAAGCATCCGTAGATAAGAGCTTTCATCGAAAATCCTTGAACTTGTGGCATATACCTATAATAATTATATTAGAGGTATTGTTGAAAAAGAAGGTCTTGATCTTGAGGAGGTACTTGTCTACTATAATATCATCGATTCTGGAGTATTTGATGGCTAGATAATCCTAAAGTTTTTTTGCTATATTATATTCGTCTATTAAAGCCTTATCATCGTCAGATAATGAGCGATAGATATAAGATAATACACTAGCATCGTTCTTAAGAAAAGTAGCCTTTTTGTCGATGTTGAATTGAATATTTATAATAGTATTACCACTGCCGTTAGAGACTTAAAGTTCTTCGAAATCCTGAATTAATTTGTTGGTTACTGTAATCTATACATATTCATACAATATCTTTTCGCATATATAAAACCAACCTTTTTCTTAAAATTGAATTCTTATTTAATAAGTTCAGCATTTATAATTCTCTTAAATAAAAGAAGGGATATACTTAAAGTAATCCTTGGATCCAGTGTCTTCGTTTATTTTGAAGATTCTATAAGTAGAAAACTTGCGTCGATGACCTAAGCGTGATTGATAATAGAATGAAAGAATAGAAGAGGAACTGTTTAAGACTACACTATCCCGATTGGGATGTATTAATATTTGAAAGAAGAAATTCTCTTCAAGACAGAATAATTGAGAATAGTGAATTTTGATTTGTAGATAATGATTTTTGAAGTGATATTGAACACTGTGTAGTAGATAATACTCTTCAATATTAAACTGGAATGAATAATCTTTTCAGTAATAACTCATAGTTTTCTTATTTGAGGAAAAAGTATGATATAAATAATTACTTTACTGTTATTGTTCAGCAATCTGTTTGCTATGCGTATCTCATATATTGATATCATATTGCATAGAAGCTTCTTGTTATCAATCTTTATTTTAGTAATGTAAGCTATTCAAAGAGCTTTTAGCCTTAGTTTTATTGTAGAGCTATTGGGCTTATAATCTGTTCACAATAAAGAAGCAGGTCAATGGAATGTATGTATTATTAACTATGTAGATTAATTATACTAAGGTAAAATCTAACTACGAAGTGGAAGTGATATATGCACAGTAGCTTAGAGCACGTGCTACAACTTCCAATAATACTTTTTTTATTAGAATTGAATTTTTCACTAAATTTTTTTTTAATAATATATATTTTTTATTAGAATATATTTTTTATTATAATACTTTTTTATTATAATACGTTTTTATTATAATACTTTTTTATTACAATACTTTGTTTTTACAATACTTTGTTTTTACAATAGTTTGTTTTTACAATAGTTTGTTTTTACAATACTTTGTTTTTACAATACTTTGTTTTTACAATACTTTGTTTTTACAAAAAAGTTTAAATTTTTGAAAGAAGATTTTTTTTTTTAGTTATAAATCTTTTTTTGTAAAGATTCTTTTATTTGAGTAAATAATGACATCTCTCAATCAGAGTATTTTAAATGAATATAATTCTTATAATTATATCTTAAGTTAATCTAATCTATTATTACTATATATATCTATTTTCTAATTAAATTAATTAATTTATATAGATATTATTCTGTAATATAATATTAATATAAGCGAAATAACATACCGATTATATAATTGCTTTTTTATAGTTATCTTCTTTATATAATTTCCCTTATATATTGAAGTACTATCTAAAGTCTTTCTTTTTATTCTTTTATTAGAGATAAGATATTTATAATAACTCTCTATAATATATATATATAAAGAATTCCTCTATAATTCTATCATTTTCCATTTTTCTCACAATGAAAAAGAAAATTATAAATATTATTTTTAATATTTTTAGTATTAAAAAGTTGTATAAAATAGATATAATTCAAAAATAAATGAAGAACTTGAATATTTTATAATTAATAATAATAAAATAGTTTGTCAGGGCTCAGTAGTAAAGAATATACTAGGAAGGGACTAGTAGTCTTAGTTAGAGATTATATAAGAAGGTATATTAGATTATAGTCAAAACTAATCTTATGCTTTGATTAGTTTAAAATATATTTAATTACTTATAGATTACCCTTTTCAAATCTCAATATTATAAATTCTTAATATTCCTTTTCATAGTATTATAATATATAATCTTTTTATAAATTAAATTGATAATTCTCAAATTGAATTCTATTAATATTTATTTTCTAATAATCATTTCTGAGATTGAGTTTTTATTAATATTAACCTTCTATTAGTCGCTAAGTAATCGGTCCTTAGTTGCCCCAGGGTTTCCCCGGCTGACTAATGGTATTCTGCGCTGACATAGTTATTAAATAAAATAGTATGTTTCCTATTTTAAATACTATGATTCTTTAATATTATAGAATTATTAAAAATTAAGAATTCAAAAAAGATACTATACTATATACAGATTAATATCTTTTTGAATTGCTTCGAAATATATAGTCATCTAAAATATTACCGAGTTCTACTCGGAGTCCACTCGCTCGTGCCCGCTAGAACCCTGAAAATCGGACTGATAGTTGACCCGATGCCGATCCCACATTGATGCCCCGATGCCGATCCTGTATCGATGCTCATAACAAATGGAAACCACTCAATGTATATTCAAATCTCTGATAGTAGTAATGAATTCTCTAAAAACAGTTAGATTTTAGTAAAGCGGGGTGTATATGATTTACCCTTTCACCTTCCGTACAGTTAGCCACACAGCCAATGCCAGAGACTCTTCTAGTACAACAAACTTAATAACGCGATTAGTAAACATATATTTCAGCGAAAATCAACTGTAGCATATACCCTCGGACTAACGGGAATACACGATAAGTCCACTACCCCTGTGATTAAGCGGATTCCCGGAGCATCCCAGGGTCCCCGCACAACTGTCAGTCACATAACAACCCAGCCGGAACACCAAGGACACGTGAGTTCTGGTATAAAATACCTAGGATTGCTTGAATCCAGGTGTGGGTTGTGACAGCAAAGCCTAAGATCTTACCCACCTATACTCGAAGTTCGAAAACCTTATCTTCACCATAATTAATCTATAGCCATATTAGACGCCCGGTATGGATTGTATACCGGCCGGATTGCGTTGTCCCTGCAGCAACATTTGATGTTTCAGAAACTCGTTGGAGGGATCATGAATACGGAAGTTACTTCCCCGTCTTAAGTTACATTATCGTTTATGGAGGAACAAAGATGGAAATTACCCTGACTCCAACGCGAAGCACTGAGATGACAGAAGTAAAATAGAAGATGCTTGAAGGTCTTGAATCTTGCCTTCTTGGAGTATATATAGCTTCCCATATCCGATACTCTTTCTGTTCTATATCTGCTTTAGATTCCACTTCATTTATCCTCAATCTTCCTTCATAACTCAACTATAGACTACTAACTCACACCAAAACTCGCAACATTCGCTCTTAAGTTAGCTTGTTTAACTTTGAATGAGTATCAAACTTGATTACTTCACTAAGCCTATAACTGAAGCCAATCAAACATTGTACAAAAGCCTCTGCAACTACACTATTACTCATCAAATTCTTTATCAAGAACGCTTACCATTTGTACCGTCAAAATGAGTGAGATAATTACTGTCGATTATCTTGTTGTTGGTGCAGGAGCCATGGGAATGGCTTTCGTCGACACCTTGTTCACCGATAATAAGGACGCAACGTTCGCTATTGTTGATCGCTACAACCGCCCAGGTGGTCACTGGAATAAGGCCTATCCTTTTGTCCGCCTCCACCAGCCATCTAACTTCTACGGCGTCAATTCCAGAGACCTTGGTGAAGACAAGATTGACATGACTGGCTGGAATAGCGGTTTGGCAGAGCTTGCAAGCAGCGATGAGATCCTGGCCTATTATACGCGGATCCTAACGCAACAACTCCTACCATCTAACCGGGTCACTTACTATCCACTTTGCGAATATACTAGTGGTGGCGAGTTCTACTCCACTGTCACCGGGAAGAAGTATTCTGTCGGAAACAAAACTCGGATTGTCGATGCCACCTTCATGCGTGTGAAGGTCCCTTCTATGAGCCCGCCTGTCTATAGTGTTGCGGACGATGTGAAACTTGTTACACCAAATGAGTTGGCTCAAGTCTCTCGGCCTTATGCTAATTATACTGTTGTTGGTGCTGGCAAGACTGGCATCGATGCCTGCCTGTGGATGCTAAGCATGGGCATTGATCCATCAAAAATCACGTGGATCATGCCACGCGACTCTTGGATGTGGGATCGAAGTTTCTTCCAGCCCGCGGAATCATCTGTCCAGGTACAGAAGACACAAGAGGTCATGCGACTAGGGGTCGAAGCGACCATGGCCGCCACATCCGTAGATGACTGGTTCAAACGTCTAGAAGCATCCGGGGTCATGCTGCGCGTATCTAAGGACGTCTGGCCTACCATGTTTCGCTGCGCTACAGTATCTTTCGCGGAATACGAACAGATTAAAAAGATCAAGAATATCGTCCGCATGGGCCGGGTGAAACAGATCACTACGAGTCAGGTGACTCTGGAACGCGGTGAATTCAATCCTGTGCTTGATACGCTCTATATCGATTGTACGGCTGATGGGCTGAAGGGATACGAGCCGGTTCCCGTATTCAACGGCAAAAACATCACTCTTCAGGCTGTCCGCACCTGCCAGCAAGTATTTAGTGCCGCCTTGATTGCCCATGTCGAGGCTGTGTACGATGATGACGAAAGGAAAAATTCTCTCTGCCGCCCGATATCGCACCCTAGCAAATCTACTGACTGGCTTAGAACCAGAGTCCAAGATCTTGAAAATACGTCATTATGGAGGACAGAGCCAAAAATGGTCATCTGGTTGAGCCAATCACGCCTTAATATGTTCAAGAACTTGCAACCAGCGTTGCCAGATGATCCCGAAAAGCGGCAGCTCGTGTTGCAAGCAATGCATGAAAAGGAGGTACCGTACATTAACAAGATGCGAAACCTTCTTGACGATCATGAAGCGGGAAATGTAAAGGTGGAATAGGACATCACTATTAAGGGACATCGCTATCAAGGGGAGAATTGCTTCCGAGGGCTAAGCTTTGAGTGAAGCATTCAATTAGTAGTTCCTAACACCCTACTACCTGGTATCACTAGTTTTACTGGTATTACAAAATATTTAGGGTTTTTAGGGTTAAATTAGGGTATATATATATATTTAGGGTCTACTCAAAATTTGGGATTCAATAGCGTTTTTACTTTTTTGCTAGCGTTATTCCTTATTAAGTTCTATTTTTAGAATTTTAACTGGTATTACAAAATATCTCGCTTAATATTAGAGCTAGCTTATTAAAACCAGCTTTTTTAAATTTTTTGAAAAAAACTGAATTAAATGATATAATTTTTATCCGAATCGGGCTTAGTTCGTTTTTGACTTAGAAAAATACGATTTTCTTTATTTTTATAATATTTTAATTCTTATTTATAAGCTTGAATATTGATAATTTCGAAAATCTTATAACATATTACTATAAATAGAATTAAAAACTGAATATTTTAGTATAGTTTTTATTATATAAATATAAAATTTGATTTTTTATTTTTCATTTTTACTGGTATTACTATTATTCAACTGGTATTACAAAATATCTTACGTAATATTGGAGCTAGCAAAATAATAATATTATTTTTGAAATCCTCATAAAATTTTGAGCTATATAGCGTTTTTAAAATTTTCGAGGGTATATACCACAATTACTTTCCACTGGAATATACATTAAACTGACTGCCTGCTATTTACAGAAAGTGATAAAGCATAAAGGTAGATAAGTATTCTATTAATTTAGTATTTTGTTTATTAATCAAAGCAATCTTTTAGGTGATATTGTATATATTGAAACTATTTTGAGTTAAAACTTGAAATCTGTAATTAGAATGAAATTATCTTTTGGTTTAAGGGATTTGTATAGGTTTTGGGGATTTGTAGTTTTTATAAAAAAAGCTCTTCAAGTTTTGATAATCTTATTTAGGGTCAGGTTCCCTTTATCCAATTTTATATTAATTCAATCAATTAATTATTCTATCGATTAGGGTCAGATATTATATAATATATTTTTGTAATTGCTATTATTATTATTCAATTATTTATTTTATTATTTTATATCACTTTTTATCAATTTTCTCTTATATCAAGAACAAATTTATACAATGGATTTTCTTCATTTTGATTCAACCTTTAATATTTTAATCTATATTAGTTATAAGTATACTTTTTATTTTATTGATATTATGTGTTATCTGTACAATTATTATAAATCTACAGTACTGTTAGGCAAGATTCAAGAATATATTCGCCTCTTTATTTTAAAATCTCTCTTATCTCCATGTAAAATGAAGTAATTACATATTTTAATAAATACACTGTTTATTCAGTATTTATGAATCTATAATAATACTTATTATTATAAATTGTATCATTTCAATCAGTTATTTGTTATTCGAATTTATGAACTTATGATTAATCACTTAAGAAAGATTCATCAATAGAATAAAAACCAAAAGATTAAAGACATTAAAATATACATTTTATTTAAGGATTCGATCTACTTTCCTATTATTTATTAAACCTTTTACATAATAAGTTTTATATAATAATACTTCCTTATTAATAATGGTAAATCTAATTATAATATAAAATCGATAAATATTATAAATATTTATATACAATCTCCTTCGACAATTACTATCAGATTGCTTCCTACAATTCTTTGAGAATAAGTAGAATAGATTTTAATTCAAAAGCTTTAAGTATTTAAGTTTATTATTACTTTACATTACAAAACTGAAGTTTCTTTATAATTGGATTTAATTTAATAAAAATAATATCTTTGAGGTTATAATTTAAGTCAAATTGTATACCTTTATAAGCTTCTGATATCTTATTTTCTGTTTGATTTTAATCAAATGGATAATCATTTTATTCTTATATTTGAATCCTTCAATCACCTTATCAACTAAGTTTACAAATCCCTTCGAACTAATCGAATCAATATATTTGATTAGCAGTATATCAATAGCTTCCTTACTCGATAAACAATCAATTTCTCTTTAGTTCACAAACTACAGGAAAACACCTACATCAAGTACAAAAAGATATAAAAGCAATTACTAAGCTTCGTCTATCAATATATTTAATTTAATCAAGATTCTAATCTCTTTTATTATATAATTAATGCTTAAACAATCACTCTTGACTAAGTAATACAGATAATAACCAATCTTATATAGAAACAATAAAGTATTGGAATAATGCTAGTATTATTTTAGCAAAACCTTGATTATACTATGAATCATTTGTATATCTTATTATTAGATTATACTTTATTCGATATAATTTATGATAGTATTATTATTGCCTTTATAATAGTTTTTGATATTAAAGATCCTGGATTATTAAATAATCAGAACGCTATTTTTAGTAATTCTCTACACTATACTCCATATCTCTCTACCTTTATCAAAATAACTCAACTTCTTGTTATTTAGAAAACAGTAATTTCAGTTGATTGCGGTGAGGTCTTACATATCATTAATATATTAAATATTATACAAAAGCAGTTTATAGTATATAACATACATTCCCCTATAAACTGGGTACAAAAGCTGTATAGTTTTGATAAGTAGATTAATAAGGTTACTATTTCTTTAGAATATATTATTTAAACTAATAATAACAAGTTTTTTAATTATAAAAGCTTAGAATTGGGAATAATTGATTTAAAAAAGTTTTTATCAATTCAGATAATAATAGTATAATTGCTTTTAAAGAAGTTGCTATATATATATCTAAATGAAAAATGAAATAATATTGTTTTGACAATCAATCTTTACAAACTGAAAAATAATCTAGTTAATAGTAAGTTTGATTAGAGTTTTTTAGACAATCTTCGAAATAAGTACCTCCAAGGGTATAATCGATAGCTGCTTAATTGTATTCTTAATAAAGATTAATTACAGTAAGAGTTTTTAATAAAAGATATAAAGATTATATGGTGGTATAAAACTATTAAGTAATATTTTTAAAAAACAAATACTTTCCTTAAGCGGTTGCTTCTTCTCATTTATATACTTGAAAAACAGTCTATATGAGGAACCGAGCTTTTTAACCTTCAGCTATATAATACTGCTTACGGACTACAGCGAAATATCTTTATAGAGAATAACCTTGTTAATTTTGTTACCTATTATCACAAGGACTATAATATCTCAGAATTAATCAAAATCATTCACTAATATCTACCAGAAGTAATAAGTAAGCTTCTGATTTATTATATTTAATTGATTTAATTATTCTATAAACAGTTATATATACTTATTCTTAATAAAAACCTAAGTGTTTTAATCTTTCTTTAAGTAATCAAAAAGGAGATTCAAAGTTTACTATAACCTAGTAATTACTTAATAAATATTTTAATATAACAATTCAAATAGTACTTCAATATAAATACAAATATTCTTCTTTAGCGGTATATAGTAATTGCGATTTTTTGCTAGTACATCCAGTAAACTAAATTTCGAAAAGATTATAATATAAATACAATTGAAAACTGAAATAATATACAAACTGCACATACTGCTAATACAATTAATATAATCTATACAAAAGGAATAAAAAAAGCATTTAGTCATATTATCTCTATAAATATAGAATATCAATAGATTAGTAGAAAATAACATATATATTTAGAATTTTTTGGATTTAAAAGAATAACTTAGATATAATTTGTAAAGCTATATTTATAAACACTTAATTCTAGATAATCTATTGACCTCTTAGTTAATTATCAAACGCCACTTAAATGCAAAGCTTTTAATAAACTATTAATTTAAAACCAAATGAATAATATCAATTATTAATAAAAACAAAAGCCAAAAAGAAAAAGAGTAATTTTATCTTGAAAAATTAGAAAATCGATTCGATATAAAACGCTTTTATAATCGTTGTTTCAATTATCTCTTTTTATAATGTTTTTGAAGATTTGATTAGATTAATGCTAAAGAGGAAGCTTTATAAGCGTACTAATTTGATAAAAGAGATTGGATATTATGATATATTGTGTATTAGAATTGTTATCAATTATAAGATATCTGTCGAATAGCCGATTTCAAGTATAAAGAGATTATATATCGATTTCCGGATATAGTAATACCACTCTGTTATAGGGTGTATAAGTAGGTAGGTAGTTTATAATAGTTTTGGTGACACTTTTAACAAATCTTTGAAATTAAGCTTAAATATATATTTTAGTTTGGGGAAATGACAAGTTTTGGAAGAAATGTGTGTATTCAAGTTAATTGTATTGCTGCCATTGTTATTTAGGAGTTGGCATGAGAGAAAGAAATTCGAGTGAGGTGAAGAAATGCAAATGAGATAATGTAACGTATGGGGAGCTCGTGCATATGAGGAGTTCGTGCATTTTGCCCCACTACCCTACCAAAAACTACTTGAAATCGACTACAATACAGCTTTTAGTAGAATCTGAATCAATAGAATCACTTAGTACCTCTTCCTCTTCCTTATCCTCTTCTATCTCTTCAATAGGCCTTTTACATGGCCATCCCCGTAGCTTTTTTGCGACCGATCTCTTTTCAGCCTTTCGAGCGATTTTCAATACTTTAGTAATACTGAAGACAAATTGGCTCTGCAATCTAACCCTCTTGCCCTTTTTATAAGTTTTTTGTTGATTGAGTATTGCTTTTTGTTCTTCAAATTCTTTTTGAATCACTACAAGTTTGGTATTCTGCTTTTCGAGTAGTTGGGTTACCCGTCTCGCATATCGACAAGTTGGACTTGCAATAGGCTTGTTACTTGTTAAAGTTGAATTAAATACTAAGTTTGCTTTCCGGAGTTTTGTTCCATTAGGAGGAGAGCTTTTCAATACCGAGAGGTTTAGCTGAAGGGTTTTTCTTGATCGCTAGGAGGTAATAGATTGAGGTTGGAAGGGTATAGATAGTTAATTAAGCACTCTACCACTACAAAACGGG